GGGCGGGAGAAGAGTCCTGCACAGGCGGGGCTCAGGGACACCCCCGGGCTGGTGATGCCCTTCCAGGTCCTTCCGGGTACTGGCCTTGACGTGCTTTGGGTAGCAGTGCCCGGGCCGGCCTGGTGCCACCTCAGTAGGCATGCATGGCAGGGGTGTGGCTTTCCCACGTGGGAGCTGGTTCTTCTGGGTGCAAACAGAACCCTTCTGGGCGTTGCTCACCAGACCGTATGTGCTGTTGGTAATAACTGCGCTGCCGCTCGCTAAAGATGCTGCTGCTCATTCTCCTCCTCCTCCTCCTCGGCTCCTTCTCTCAGGGGTGTTCCCAGTCGTGGTGGCCCACGTGTCGCACACACTCAGCCTGGTGAGGGCCAGGGCTGTGCTTCTGGAGACCCTGCCTGGCGGGCGTGCTGTGCAAAGCTGTCGCTCCCTGAGGGTAACCTTTTCTTAGAGAACTCCCAGCTCAGTAATTTACCTCGACGCGAGACGGGCCCGCTGGCAGCTGGATTCCTTTTATTTTTTTTAATCCTCACCTGAGGATATCTTTTTATTGATTTCGGAGAGAGAGGAACATGGATCAGTTGCCTCTCCACATGTGCCCCCAGCAGGGATCAAACCCGCGACCTTTTGGAATACGGGACAATGCTCCAACCAACTGAGCCCCGGCGAGGCCGTCAGCTGGACTTTAATAGAGGCAGGGCCAGCGCCTGTGCGGCGAGGAATTGCGCAATTCTAGCAGAAAGGCGAGCGTGCGAATAATTTTAGAGCTGGCACTGTCGCGTTTGCAGTTACTGTAGTTTTGTTGCTGGCTGCAGTCGTATCATTTTGGTTCCAACAGGGTGACCTAATTTCATATCTGTGTTGTAACTTTAGGAACCTTAAGTGGGCCTTTTTTTTTTTAAGAGAGAAGGAAGAGATAGAGAAACATCCATGTGAGAGAAAAACATTGATCGGTTGCCTCCCGCATGCACCCCAAGCGGGGGTTGAACCCAAGAAACCTAGGAATGTGCCCTACCAGGCATCGAACCAGCGACCTCTCAGTGCATGGGATGATGCTCAGCCAACTGAGCCCCAGGAGCCAGGGCTGGAACTTTTTCTATGGTGGACTCACCACTTTACTTGGGAGGTAAGAGTGTCCCTTTTGAGCTGGACCTGACCTGATGCCCAGCTCTGCTCGTGGGGGTTGGACCCAAGAAACCTAGGAATGTGCCCTACCAGGCATCGAACCAGCGACCTCTCAGTGCATGGGATGATGCTCAGCCAACTGAGCCCCAGAAGCCAGGGCTGGAACTTTTTCTATGGTGGACTCACCACTTTACTTGGGAGGTAAGAGTGTGCCTTTTGAGCTGGACCTGACCTGATGCCCAGCTCTGCTCTTTGCCCGCTGTGATGTCGGGCAAGTTTCTTGACCCCCAAGCCCTGGTCTGCTCTTCAGTAAATGAGGGTAACAGTGGTACCTACTTCCTAGGGGTCTAGTGGGAGTTAAATGGGCCAGTGCAGGTGAATGTGATCCCATTGTCCGCCATATGCCAGAGTTTGGTGGAAAGAATATTTTGTGTCTTCGTTGTTAATAGCACCAAATCTGTGTGCCTTCTCTACCTACCCGCCTACATGTATGGACCTTTCCACCTGACCCCGGCCTCTCTCCCTCTCTGTTCATTTTCAAGGCAATGTTGAAAGTCTTCTGCCGACACCGATTCAGTTGCATATTTCAGTTACTATAATGACTGTATTCTTGGAGTCCCAGTGTCGTCACAGGGCAAGTTTCCTGTTTGTTTTATGTTACGGAGATTTCCACATCTCCCCCTGGGCACGCTTTGTAGTCTGGCACCAAATTCTTCACTATGATGACCTTTCACTTCCTTTCCATAACGGGCTCCCTGTTCGGGCTCCCTGTTCAGGACCTGGGGTGGGGGGCGGAGGGTATTTGGGAGGGCAGAGGCCCCGTCTGTCCGAGGGCCCGGTCTTCTCCTCCAGGGAGAGAGAGACCTGGCTTCTGGGTGGCTTCTATCAGGATGTGGAGGCCGCTGAGGGGAAAGGTTTTCGGTGAGAAGGAATTGCTTGTGGACAGCAGGACAAAGTGAATGCATTTGAAAAGCACAGTACCGACCAAATGATTGGCCCAGGGTTTTAGCGGGGAGGCATTGGGCAAAATGTTTAAATTGAAGGTCATCTTACCAAAACTAAATGAGCTCTCCTCCTCCCCAAATCATTTGTTTGGCATTCAGTGTTAGGGAACTGTCTTCGGCCCGTGATTTGATTCAGAGAATTAAACAGGGATGCGTGTGTGTCCTGGAGCAGCTTTTTTATTTTTTTTAATATATTTTTATTGATTTCAGAGAGGAAGGGAGAGGGAGAGAGAGATAGAAACATCGATGATGAGAGAGAATCGTTGATCGGCTGCCTCCTGCACACCCCCTACTGGGGACTGAGCCTGCAACCCCAGCAGGTGCCCTTGACCGGAATCAAACCCGGGACCCTTCAGTCAATAGGCAGACGCTCTATCCACTGAGCAAACCGGGTAGGGCCTGGAGCAGCTTCTAACTGATGTTGGGAGATTAAACCAATAATTTCCAAGTGACAGTCGCCGGCAGGGCAGGTGGCACTGCTGGATGTTTCCGGTAGAATTCTTCTATCTTGGGAATGTGGATTCTGTCCACACAAGAAGCAGCTAAATCTATAGAGAATTTTTATGAGTTTATTTGAGCCAGTCTGACAACAGATGACATAGGCCTGGGAGCAAGATCTCAAATGCTCAGGCTTCTCTCACGCCTTGAGATTAGGGAGGAGACAAGGAAGATCGCCTTGGAGGTGGGACAAAGCCAAGGTGGGGACCGGAGGGCAGGATCGGTGCCTTGGGGCTGTGGACCGCTACTTCCCGAAGCACAGAAAACACTACAGGCTGGTTAGGTAGAAAGGCCTGTTAACCTAGATCAGTGGTTCTCAACCTTCCTCATGCCGCGACCCTTTAATACAGTTCCTCATGTGGTGGTGACCCCCAACCATAAAATTATTTTCGTTGCTACTTCATAACTGTAATTCTGCTACTGTTATGAATCGTGATGTAAATATCTGATATGCAGGATGTATTTTCATTGTTACAAATTGAACATAATTAAAGCACAGTGATTAATCACAAAAACAATATGTAATTATATATGTGTTTTCCGATGGTCTTAGGTGACCCCTGTGAAAGGGTCATTCGACCCCCAAAGGGGTCGCGACCCACAGGTTGAGAACCGCTGACCTAGATGCACAGAAACAATGGACAAGGCCTGCTTAAGGCAAAGATAAACTGAAAAGTTAGAGGTCTGGGGCGTGGCTCCCCACCAGGACCTGCCCAGTTAGGAATGAGTGATCAGCTCGCCCTGTGAGGTTACGCAATTCAAAGGCTGACCAGAGCAGGCCCCGGGAGAGGGAAGCTCCAAGCCAGGTATGAGGCAGGTATGAAGCAGGCAAGTAGAAACGGATGGAGAAGCAGGCCTCTCAGCTGTGAGTTCCCAGGCCTGGCCCAGGCGACTGGGAGAATGAGCTTGGGAAGGGGTAGGGAACAGCTAAATATGTTTAAATATGTTTTCATTGATTTCAGAGAGCAAGAGAGAGGGAGAGAGCGATAGAAACCTCAAAGACGAGAGAGAATCATTGATCGGCTGCCTCCTGCACGTCCCACATTGGGGATCAGGACAAAAACCAGGCCTGTACCCTGAC